GTGCAGGCTCTTGGCTCATGTCAGCCGCAGACAGAGGTCTGATGCACTGCCTGTGTAGTTACCTGCAGCTCCACTCAAATGCAGCCTCTGGGGCAAGTCCACTTTGTCCCTCACAGCTGATCACTGCCCCCAGGCTCTGCAGTGCAAGTGGGACCCACATGGAGTCTCAGTGTGTATCAGGGGATGGGCTATGGTGGAACAGCTGCATCAGAGATCTGGAACGCTTCTGACGTGCTGCTTGAGTAAGTGATGGCTGCTACCCACCCACTCAGATGCCGCTGTGGCACCAGGTCACCTCTACATCCCACACTGTGACATGGAGTGAGCAGCACCAGAGCTTTCGCTCAGCTTGGACTGGGGTACCTGGCAAGGAGGTTGTGAGAAACCTGGCAGCTGCTAGAGCAGACCTCTCTCCACCTTGTTGGGGGCAAGCCAGCGTGCACACTCCTCATGAGCGTAGTCTAGGCTTCCCTCAGCCCTCCTGTTTGTCTCAGTGGCCCTCCAACCAGCCAAGTGGGATTGTCTCCTCCACGTAAAACCCCAGGACTGGGGCACTCAATCTGTGGCTCAGACCACTCACTCCACAGGGTGGGTGTCCACCCGCATAATCTCTATTTTTCTCTGAGTCTTCTTCTAGGGGCACAGGTTTCGACCTGATCACTACAGCCTTGGTTGTACAGGAGTCCTGCCAGTTTCCAGTTAGTTTTCAGTGATAATTGTTCCACATGTAGATGTATTTTTGATGTGTTCATGGGGTAGGTGAGCTCCACATCCTCTTACTCTGCTATCTTGATTCAAACCCCTTAAATTAACTTTTAATAATTAAAAAGGCAAATAAGAGGGCATGTAAGGACTTCCCTGGCAGCCCAGTGGTTAAGATTCTTCACTTCCACTGCAGGGGGCACAGGTTCGATCCCTGGTTGGGGAACTAAAATCCCACATGCCTGCCATGTGGCATGGCCTAAAGAAAAAGAAAGAAAGGAAGGAAGGGAGAGAGGGAGGGAGGGAGGGAGGAAGGAAAGAAAGAAAGAAAGAAAGAAAGAAAGGAAGGAAGGAAGGAAGGAAGGAAGGAAGAAAGAAAGAAGGAAAGAAATAAAAAGAAAGAAAGAAGAGGGCATGTGAGGTTTGTTACTTTTTTTTGCTGCTGTGTTTCTCTGGAGTTGCTTTTGTTTCTCAGAATTTGTTACTGTAGGTAGAATCAGATACATGTCCTCAGCACGAATATCAGTAAAAACGAAGAAGAAAGAAGAGGGCAAAGAATTCAAGAATTGTATTTACAGTGAGCTGTGTTTGTTTAGCTAGACGCATTCTTCCTAGTTATAAAGCATCATCAGAAAGTCTCGAAATACATAGATCAATATCTTGAGTCAGAAAGTGATCCCGCACATGGTTAATAAACGTTCCTTAAACTACAGTTCAAAGCCTTCTCTTGGTTCATAGGAAAAGAAGTGGTAATTTTCATTTTCATAGGCTCTCATTTGTTAAAATATCCATTGTTTTTCTTTCAGTGAAATTGAACAGATGGTTTAATATAGACACCTAACGGTAAAGTTTATACATTGGACTAAATTAGCAAAGAAGATCCAAGGATTCGTTTGTTCATTCATTTATTCAACAGTATTTGTTCCCAAAATCACGTTAGGTTATGATGTGTGGGCACACTAATGATAAGACATAGTCTTTTGCATCACAGAGCTAAGAACCTAGTTGGCTCTGGTAGAACAACTTTGGGAAACTTCTTTTTAGCACTTTAAAAGCATCAAAGTTTTATCAAATGGAACAGTTCATATGTGGCTCTGACTGAAGACATAGAAAAGTCTCTTATAATGTCTTTTTGCTCAATGATTCTTCATGACTAGAGGAATCCTCTTAGAATACATCATGGGACTCACACAGAAAACACCATCAGAATAATAGATTTTATAATCCTTTGTAATTGGGAATATGAAACCAAAGAGCATGGGCTTTGGAATTGGAACTGTGTTTAAATCCCAGATTTTCTAGTTAGCACTTTAAGAACTTGGGCAAGCTACTTATCTTCTTGAAGTCTCAGATTCCTCATCTATATAAAGGAGCCAATAATGCCCACCTGGCAGGATTATAAAGATCAAACAGATGATGTTTATAAGGTACCCAATAGCACAGTGCCTGGCCTATAGTACTTGCTCTTTAAATGGTAATTATTCTGCCATTCTGTCATATTTATTAAATACCCTTGTAGACATGGAACTTTGTTAATATTTTTTTATTAACCACTTCTCCAAGTGAACGTGTAGTACAGTAAAATGGTAAAAGTTTTCTCTTGAACAAGCACAATGAGATTTTTATATGTTCATTACTCTATTGTCAAAAAGTTAATATTCATCTAACAGTTCTTACTTATGATGGTTGATTTTAGTATGCATTAAGGTATAGTGGAGGGAATTCCCTGGTGGTCCAGTGGTTAGGACTCCACGCTTTCACTGAGGAGGGTCTGGGTTCGATCCCCGGTTGGGGGACTAAGATCTGACAAGCTGCACGGTGTGGCCAAAAAAAAAAAACAAATAAAAGTTTAAAAAGATATAGTGGGAAAATTTTTTAAGCTTAAAATATTCTAGAATCTTTGTGGACTCCAATATCAATTTGTGTAAATTTTTATATAAATTATGCAGATTCCAAAGACTGTGGGGGAATTGATTTGAAAATAAATTGATCACTTGGCCACACATATGCCCCAAATCTGCCATGCAATTCGAAGACCTGATTGCTAGAAAAACTAGAAAGGTAATTTGTCTGTAAGAGATATTATTTATTGTGATAGTGACAGCAAGAACTTTGAGCAGATAAAATCTCTCTTGAACCAAAGTTAATACAGAAACTATACAGAGTTTAAAAAATGGACTCTAAAGTTCTTACTCTTTTATATTGTTAATTCTCATCATTAATGTGAAGTTTCTCTTCTTTGAAGATTATCCAGATCCATTGCTTTTCTCCGTCTTCATACTCAAGTCTTGATTTTCACTTCAGAAAACAGGTAGAGGAAAAGATAAAAGATAAAACCTAACCCCAGTAATTTGTTAATTCTAATTCTCACATTAATCTTTGATGAACTACTTGGACCTATCAGATAAGCTCATTTTTTGGCACTGTCTCTATTTCAGATGAAGATTCTTAGTCTTACTGTGTTTTGGGTATGTTGCATCTGCCTCATAGGTCAGCCAATTTTCTATCAAGGCATAATGATCATATCAGAAAGTAAGTTCTGTGGAGGCAGTGGTTTTGTCTTCCTTGTTCAGTGCTAAAAACCTGGTACCTGAAATAGTGCCTAGCACATAGTAGAGTACAGATATTTGTTGGATGGACGGATGGACAGGTGGATAGATGCATGGATTAGTGGATGGATGCATGCATTCATGGATGCGTGGACAGGTGGATGGGTGGATGAATGGTTAGATGGATGGTTGGCTTTAGGAATTTGGTGAACTAGGCAGTCACTGACATCTTTCTTTTTTTGGCCTACAGCTCCAAGGTATTAGACAAATAGCCAAATGCTCTCAAATGCAATCCATCTCTGAATATGTTTTAAATAATTTATGAAATTATATTGATGTTTATATTTCTATAAAGTGATGATAATAAGCTAATTATATAGAATTACTAATTTTATGTAACTGACCAGAAGTTGGGACTACCTCTTGTTCACCACTGTTTTTCCAGTGTTTAGCAAAATGCTTGGCATATAGGTAGGTGCTCAATAAAAAATTATTGAATAAATAATAATAAATTGGAATGCCCATTTCTAAATGTTCTGAATTGATTGTCAGCATCCTGAGATTGGGACATTGTGAGATATTTTGTCTTTAATCCTCATGGTCTTTCTCTACTCTCCTTATATATCTTTGTTAATTATAAAACATGTTGGTTTGGTGGTTTTAAAAGAGTGTATTATTCCATAAGTGAATTTATTTTCAGTTAGTTATTTGTATATAGAGATATTGTGTTTATGAAATTTGGAATGCCCTTTTTTGCCAATATGACCATACATATGTTATGTCCTCATAACTCACAACCAGAAGAACTCAATCTCTTTCTGTCCACTTTTCTTCTGTGTAATAAGGGAGATTGAAAAGTTGATTTCCAATCAAGCAAAGCATGACCTTTCATCCTCCCAGCCTTCTCCATTTCTTCTTCTTTCCATGTCTTCTGTTCCAAGAAGATCACTGAAAGTCTTATTTTGTTTGATTAATCTGAGTGAGAATTGTTTGGATGTTAAGTCTAAGGAATAATGAGCTAGTTTGAATAAAGAGGGGTTGAACAGAGAGGAAATGGGACCCTTAGGGAATTTGTGTTCCCTAGATCTCATAGAAACTAGGAAGCTGACAGTGCTCAGAGTTTATACATCTCTGTTCGTGCTCTCCTATCTGGAGACCAGCTTCCTCTTCACAATTCTCAGTTTGCTCTCTCCCACACCCTAGATGGCATAGCCCTGACTTGGGTTCCAGTTTTACAAAAGCTTACATATCCAGGGTCCAGTACCATCTGATTGATTCTTTTTGTATTTATTTCAGCATTCCAGGAGAGAGACTCTGACTATCCTAGATTGGGTCAAATATTGATCCACAGTCTAATCAATTGTGCCTATGGAGTTAAGTCCACATGGTGGGTAGGGTGGAGAATCAGAGCCAGTAGGTTAAGAAGGGAATATGTAAGGAAGAAATAATAGATATCTCTAGGACCAGAATTTTTCATATTTTTTATGTTAACTATATAAATTCTATCATATGATACTATCTGTTCTATTTCCTTAACCATTATCCTTTTAGAGCATTTAAAAATTATTTTCAGTCTTTCACTGTTATAAAATAACTGCTAAATTGTTGTACATGTGTTTTTCCTTTGAATTATTTCCTGAAAATTAAGAAGTTGTCAAGGCAAAGAGTGAATATTTCTATGTTTTTTATATATGAGAGTATTGTAACAACATACAAGGCCACCAGTAACTTTGTTTTTCTTCCTTTTAGGGTTTTCTGGAAACTGTATCGGCTGTGGAGAAAGAGGATTTCGGTATTTCACGGAATTTTCCAACCACATAAACTTGAAGCTCACCACCCAGCCAAAGAAGCAGAAGCACTTAAAGTACTACCTAGTCAGAAGCTCCCAGGGTGTACTGTCGAAGGGACCTCTTATCTGCTGGAAAGGTAGCGTCAACTTCTGGGAGGGAACGGGAAGGGAATGTGGATGTTACGATAGTATTGACAAGTGACCTATACGGGGTTCAGAATCCAGGTGTGGAACAGATAAATATCCCAAGTTCAGAAGACAATCCAAAAATGTAAAGCCCTCTGGCAGGTTATTTGACTTGCTCCTTTTTGTTTTTACCAGAAACTATTGAAATTTGGGAAAGGGCATTTCTCCTTGTATTTGTCACTTAGGGGTGTGGAATACAGCTCTTGGGGGGAAATGGGCTCTTTCTAGCTCTTCTGTCATTTAGAGAGGACTTCAAAGTGTCAGTTTCCTGGTCAGATGCTCTTTCTACTTTATTTAGGGTCTTTGGTAATTTTTGAGTCTTCATTTTTCTATTAGAACTAAGCAAACTTTGGAATAAATAATGCTCTCTTCATAATACCTGGGAAAAGGCAGTATTAAGTTGACAAAGTTTTGTTTCTCTTCAGTTAGGAAGAACTTAAACTTATTTTTGAAAATGAATCCAGTTGAAATGTCACATCATCTTGTGGTTGATAGGAGTTGCCACAAGTTCTGTACATTGTTTAATGCAGTGGGACATCTAATTCTTATTCTTTTGAGCAGTTTCTTAGATGCTGAGATTTCCCCTCCATTATTAACATTATTATATTGTTAAAGACAATAGAATAATTGTCTTTAATATTTCTATTTGTTGTTTGTGCAAGATTTTGGCCTGACCATGAAAAATAGCGTAGTAAATCCAAATTACAACTGAAGATTTGTTTCCGAATCTTTCACCATAATGACTCCTGGTTGCATTTGAGGAGAGATTATATAACTCCTTAGGAAATGGCTACATGTTCTGAGCCAGGGATCACCAGGACTGTGATCAGTGCTGTGATCACTAAATCGTAAGCATGGTAAATTATAGATAACTCTTTATCCTGATAAAGTCTAAAGAATGTTCCTCTAGAAAAATCATTTAAAATGTCATGAACCCTAATAAAAGAGTAAAAATAGGATAGGTATCACCTCCCTGCCTTTTAACTGCCTTTTGTTAGCTTTTGTTTTGGTTGCATAAAATATTTTTAAGTTCTTATTTAGTGCTCAGTGACAATTCACCTTTCTGGTAAATAATAACATTTGTGAAATAGTTTGTGATACAATGATCCTGGGTGGCTTCTGAAGCCTCACATTTATAGTCATTCTATTTTGGAATTGGAATTGTATATATGTACATACCTATCAAACTACATATTTGCATATAATATACATAACATGGAGATATCCTTTTCAGTCAAAATACAGTAGCTCTGGGCTTCCCTGGTGGCGCAGTGGTTGAGAGTCCACCTGCTGATGCAGGGGACATGGGTTTGTGCCCCGGTCCGGGAAGATCCCACATGCTGCAGAGTGGCTAGGCCCGTGAGCCATGGCCACTGAGCCTGCGCGTCCGGAGCCTGTGCTCCGCGACAGGAGAGGCCACAACAGTGAGAGGCCCGCGTACCAAAAAAAAAAAAAAAAAAAAAATAGAGTAGCTCTTCAAAGGAACGTCATAGATAGAAGGTTATAGAAAACTGCCTCTAACTTTTGCATGTATCCAATAAACTTGGAAATTCTCTAAAGGACCCACTATAATTAACTTTGTCATTTACAACCATTTATATTTCTTTTTCACATGCTACCTTTAAAGACTAATATAGTACAACATATAGTATAGTTTGGTTGGAAGTTAGAGCCCCGAAAACCTGTGACACACATTGTCACAGTATTTGCTATCTACCTGAATCAGTACAAAGTATTATTAAAATATTACACCAAAGCCACAAGTAATATTGGCTCATTTAAAATGAAGCTTAGTTTTGTATGATCAGTAAGTACCTTGAATATTGTCTACCTATTTCCTCTAATAAGAGCTGAGAATAATAAGAATTTGAGAATTTCTAATTTTTCTCCTCTGTGTATAATATTTTCTTTGCTTCTGTTTCTGGACATAAATTAAGGTTGAGTAGAGAAGGTTGAAGGCAGCCTAGAAGGACTCTAGATTACTATTCTACACGTAAATCAATCCTGGACAGAAGGTTAACTGGTGCTTGAAAGCTTATTTGGTTTTTATAAATTATTGATATTTTAACCTCAGTATTACCCATGAAACTAACATGACTATATAGGTTATGAGTAATTTTTCTCCTGGGAACTAGTCTGTGAGGAACAAATGTCTAATTGTTCTTTGTAACTATTTCTTTGCCTTCCAAACATGACATTTGGCTCTAGGAAGATGAATTGTGTTCACCAGCTTGAACATTCTGTTGGAGTCAAGTTTGGGGAAGGGGGATCTCTGTTAAACAAAGTGCTGCCACTTGAGGAGCAGCAGTTTATTTTAGAGATTTTATGGATTGTGTCTCCCTCACCTGTTTTAACAGAATATTGTTTTCCTTACATAATGTGATTCTTACTCCTTTCTAGAATGTAGAAGCCGACAATCCTCTACCATTTGCCACTCTATTAAACCAAACTCTTCAGTGTCATCAACCGTGGCCCCAGAAAATGGCACAACTAATGGATACAAATCAGGATTCATTCAGACAGGTATTGGATATTTTCTTTTGGAATTTCAAGCGGCAGATGTATATTTAATGAGGCATTTTAAACTTACTGTTGGCTGGTTTGAACAGACTTATTTTTCAGTAGCAGTATTGAGTTACTATTAGAATTAGAAATCAGCATTGAGATGGATCAGTCTGTGGAGGAGCAGGACCCCAAATCCCAACAGCCCTGCCAATGCTAGGCAAGGCATGGAAAAAGGAACTGACAGTTGGTAGGGAATTTAGTTCAAGCATAGGGCCTGTTTCTAGAGGAGTCTGACAGGAGGCAATAAGTAGAAATACAGATGTGAAAGAAGTCTGCATCATAGCCATCAGGTGGCATGTATTGGGGACATATTTATGAAGACTGGAATTCTACAGTAGGGCTCTAACTAGGCTTGCTCAACGGTATAGGGAGTATTACACCAACTTGGATACAAAGTAAAGTCCCAAAGCAGGATGAAGGATCACAGCGGAAGAATCTAGGACCTAGTTTCAGGTGGTACAAGATAGGAGCTTGGTTACAAATAACCAGATAAAATTTTAGTGCCTGAAACTAGGTTACAGTATCGGAGCTGGATCAGCAGAGTGGCTGATCTGATACTGAGCGATAAGTTACTAGTCTAAAGCTTCTGAAAATTCCTCCAGGATAGAGGCCTGAACTCAGGATAAGACTCCAGGAGGACTTAATGTTTCCAGGTGGCTGAAAGCCTGGAGGGCTGTAACTGAAAAGATCACTGCAGATAGTATTTGAGAAAATTACTCAGAACCAGTCTAGGTTATATCTTAGGCAAGAAGAAAAGTATTTTAAAAGAATTTGTGAATTTTTTTTTCAGTTCACTTGTTTTTTGAGAAGTGCTATTTTACCCACAAACTTCATAGCATATGTGCTTTGCCAGTATCCACTCAAATACAACAAGTTGGAAAAAAAGCTGTCTTTATTCATTTCACTACTTAGAATCCTCTTCCAAATTTATGTCAAATTTTAATGAGCTGGTAAATCGTTTGCACTTATTTTCAAGATGGAAGTGATTATTAGACTATGTTAACAACAACTGTAGTGATAATAAAGCTAACTTTATCTGGGGCACTTCTTGCTATGTGTCTGTACTCAGCTAAATCCACTTCATCCTGGATTTTAAAAATCTAACTTTTAAACTGTTCAAGAGATTTACATAGAGGCTGTAATTTAAGAGGAAAGAGAATATTCTAAATTCTCATTTAGAATAAATGAGAGAACATCATGTCACTAGGTATTGAAGAAAGAAAAAATTGGTATTGGGCTCTTGGCATTGAAAGAATAGCTTTCATTACAGTGATGTCTCTTCTAGAATTTGATTGATTCTGTAGTATATTTTCTGCCATTAGAACTTGGAGCTAATGAAATGCAATTTAAAAACTACAGTATTAGTCATTCCAACAAAAACTTACCAAGTGTTTATTATGTTCTTAGACCCTTGTCAGAGGCTGTAAGGCAGGGTTCCAGTACTTGACTACTGGCTCCAATGACTTAAAAACCACTCATATAAGGGGTAAAAGAATGATAAAACATGTTACCTTTTCTAAGAGGGAGAGGTGAATATATATAAATAACCAGTTGTACCTGAAAAAAATGAAAAGATACTGAAATGTTAATAAGAAGTAATGAAATGTTAATAAGCAGTTTTGATTATTCAGAAATATATTTTGAAACTGAATATTGCTCTGAATAGAGGAATTCAAGATTCAGGCTTAGCAAAGCCTCCTTTAGTTGCCACGAAGGGACACAGGCAAGACACTGACTGACTCACAGTGAACACAAGTGGCCAAGTGCTATGCCAGTATTCTTGTGTATCCCTTGTTGGGGTGAGAATGGTAATTTGACCATGAAATTACCTATTAATTTTAGGTTCAATCCAGAGAATTTAATAGAAGATAGTGCCTTTAAAAGTAAAACTTGGTGTCTAAAACTTTCTTCGTGACAAATTATGGAGTCTTCAGTAATAATTTTCCTATGTATTTTGAAAGTAATAGACTGTAAGAATATTACCATAGCCTATTATATCATTGCAAACATTAGAGTATGCAGCATCTTCTTAGCAGATAGAAGATCTGCTCCTATCTGTAGGAGATCCTCCTGTAGGAGATTATACCCTTCTTAATCTACAATCAGTGACTGCCTGTAATCAACATTTCTTAGCCTGAAATGTAGGTACACATGTTGCAAAGTATTTGAAAAGGGGATTAATTTACTATTTGCACAGCTTTGTCTCACATTCCTACTGCCAAGATCTGGATGTTCTGTTCTGGCTGGCTTGCCACTTATATTTTGCATATTTTCTTTCAACATATTTGTGTGATTGATAATTCAAATTTTAGCCAACAATCCTGGTAAAATATTTTATGACTTTGACTGAAGGTGGCTACATAGTTACCTACCTACATTACACAGACATACCAAATACAAACATATACACGTACATGTATTGTGTTTAATAAGGACAAGAATTCAAGAACAGATGAAAAAATGGGAATTCCTTGGTGGTCCAGTGGTTGGGACTCCGCACATTCACTGCTGAGGGCCCAGGTCCAATCCCTGGTCGGGGAACTAAGATCCCAGAAGCTGCATGGCATGGCCAAAAAAAAAAAGGGAAAAAAGAAAAAAGGAATAGATGAAAAAAACTTTTGCACAACCCAAGATCTTGAAAGTTTCTCTTCCATATTTTTTGTCTAAAAGTTTTATTGTTTTATCTCTTGCATTAAAGTCTGTGAGTCATGTTGAGTTAATTTTTGTGTGTGGTGTGAGGTGAGCATCTAAATTCATCTTTTTGCATGTGGATATCCAAATGTCCCAGCACCATCTATTGAACAGACTGTCTTTTTGTCAGTGAATTTCATTGACCTCATCAAAATTCAAAACTTTTACACTTCAAAAAACAACATTAAGGGGCTTCCCTGGTGGCGCAGTGGTTGAGAGTCCGCCTGCCGATACAGGGGACACGGGTTCGTGCCCCAGTCCGGGAAGATCCCACATGCTGCGGAGCGGCTGGGCCTGTGAGCCATGGCTGCTGAGCCTGCACGTCCGGAGCCTGTGCTCTGCAACGGGAGAGGCCACAACAGTGAGAGGCCCACATACCACAAAAAAAAAAAAAAAAAAAAAAGCAACATTAAGAAAATGAAAGGACAATGATGGACTAGAAAAATACTTGCAAAACACATATTTAATAAAGGATTTGTATCCAGAATTTACAAAGAACTCTTACAACTCAGTCATAAGATGACCATCCAATCAAAACACGGGCAAAAGATGTGGAATAGAGATTTCTTCAGAGAACATACACAAATGGCCAATAATCACATGAAAAGATGCTCAACATCATTAGCTGTTAGGGAAATACAAATCAAAACCATAATAAGATATTAATTCTATCTCCCCGGGAGAAATGAAGGCATGTGTCCTCACAAAAACTTATATACAAATGTTCATATAGCAGCATTATTCATTACAGTCGAAAACTGGAAACAACCTAAATGTCAATCTACTCGTGAATGGATAGACAAAATTGTGTATCCATACAATGGAATACCATGCAGCAATAATAAGGAACAAACTATTGACACATGCTACACCATGAATGAACTTCAAAAACTTTATGCTGGGAATTCCCTGGCAGCCCAGTGGTTGAAACTCCGAGATTCCACTGCAGGGGGCTTGGGTTTGATCCCTGATTGGGGAACTAAGATCCCACATGCCTCAAGCTACGGCCAAAAAACAGAACAAAACAAAAACATTATGCTAAGTGAAAGAAACTAGACAGAAGAGACCACATATTATATGATTTCATTTATATGAAATGTCCAGAAAAAGCTAATTTATAGAGACAGGAAATAGAATAGTGGTTGCCTGGGGCAAGGGGTGGGAATGAAAATTAACTGAAAGTGGGCATGAGGTTTCTTGCTGGGGGATAAAAATGTTCTAAAGCTGATTCATGGTGATGGTTGCACCACTTGGTCAAGTTACTAGAAATCATTGAACTGTACACTTGAATTGGGTATATTCTATGATAAGTAAAATATACCTTAATAAAGCTGGGGGTTGGGGAGGAAAGATTAAAAAGCTGCTCTAAGAGAAAGGTGAAATCCTCTGGAGTGGCAACGTTTCTCCCTCATTTGAATCCAGTCTAATTTATTGAGTGTCTACTACAGAATGAGCACTGTTTCAGACCAGATGGTAAACTGCACAGGACTTGGAGTCAGTGTCTTGGTATTCAAATTCTGCCCCTGATGTATATTGACTGACACTCAATTGTTCTATGTCTTGGTTTTCTCATTTGTACAACTAAAAATAACAATACCTATTTTGCAACTAAGGATTAGCTCAGCCTTGCTACTATACTTCTATTTGTGTGCCATTCTCCCAATTATAATAATTTGTTAACCATCTGTATTCTTTTATATGCTAGAAACTGTAAGTTCATTTTGTTTATCCCTATACCCCCTAGTACCTGGCAAATGCCTGGAAATAAACGGTGTTTGTTGTTGTTGTTGTTGTTTTTTCTTTTTTGGCTGCACCTCGCAGCATGTGGGATCTTAGTTCCCCAACCAGGATTGAACCTGTGGCCCCCTGCAGTGGAAGCATGGAGTTCTAACCACTGGATTACCAGGGAATTCCCAATAAACGTCATTTGAATTCCATTTTTATTTAAATTTTAAATTAGCATTTGGGGATTGTTAACTTACTGGTGTGTACTCTTTTTCCAAATGAAGATGGTATGTTCATCTACCATTAGGAGGAAAAATTAGCCCGTAGGGCAGGACAGGGATGAGCCACCTAAACTCTGCCCCTGTGACTAATAGTGTAATTTTTAAGAAGATGCTATCAGGCAGGACCTGATATGACTTTATGACTTTCTTAGGCCCTGGGCACATTTGCCTAAAGTATTTAAAATTGTATTTTATGACTGTGTTGGTATAAAGATGAATATATTAATACTATATGCTACAATACTTTGTTCGACAAAAAAA